CACTTGTGCCTTTCAGGTGAACGACAGCCACTGACCGACAAGAACAAAACCGACCCGGGAAACTTGGGCAAAAGCCTCGATCCTGTGTATCAATCCGTGAATCCGGGAATCCGTGCTCTACACCCAGCCAAACCATCCAACTGGCTTTAAGCTCAGTCTATTATGCAGTTTCTTTCCACAGGCTGTAATGTATCACCAGAATCCGTGAATCCGTGCTCTACACCCAGCCAAACCATCCAATTGGCTTTAAGCTCAGTCTATTATGCAGTTTCTTTCCACAGGCTGTAATTGTATCACCATTTTACTGTACCTTTATTTATCTTATGTTGATATTTACTGTATGCTATGCCACCACCTCCTACAGCTTCCGGTTTCCTCTCAACCCAGCGCAACTATACTCGATCTGGCATATACCAAGCCAGGTCTCTTTTAACGTGCAAGACCGGAAGACAACTTCAACCCATTGGCATCATCTGCCTGTGTAAAAATTATTCACTACGTACCACCGTTTTCGGGATGTCCATATAAAATCCGACCACGCTTTCGTCTGTGACTTTTCTCAGACTTCTCATCCATTTTGACCATTATTCACTCTCTTACTTATCGCTTTTGTAGAAGTTTCATCTTTGAGGACTGCATCTACAACTGCTCTCCGAAGTGCAGATCTGTCGCCTAGTGTCTAGTGCCTAAAATCGAAATTTTTTCATGCCCGCCTACACTGACTCACGTTCGGTCCCAAGCTTTTGTGCCCTAGACAACTTGTTCTCCGTTCAATCAGACCAGGTTTCATCCTTGAATAGTTCAGTCGCCATTAACTTTGCATATATTTCGTCTACTTTTGCTTTGCTTAGGTCAAGCAAACATTATCCAAATTGGAAGCTTGTTTACTCACTCTTCAGAGTTATTCCAAATTACCAAGTCACGCGCACCGCACACACATTATGTGATGGGTCTGAAGATGCGCAACCACTATGGAAACAAACTCTTAACCTAGCACCAGCAGCCTCCTGGACCCGTTCATTCTAAATAGCCGAATTCCCTGTTCGAATTTAAACATCTCAATGACTTTCAAATATGCTCCGTACAAAGTTAGTCCCTTTCTGTGGAGTTTGCTTTCCGTCTTGTGCATTAGCACCAACCCCCAGTTCCAACGAACTTTTGCACTAGAGCTTATTCCAGCAATGGCATTAGTGAGCCTCTACAGTTTTAGTGTACACCGCGACTATTGAATTTGTGCCACCGTTTACTCATATTGCTGATTATTCTAATTCGTCATTCTCACCTACAGTTTTTGTGACTTTGGCCAAAAACCCAACGGTCCAAGGCCAAATAGGCCTCATCAGTGGTTTTAGACTTGAGTTCAAATTGACGGGCCAGGTCGTGACAATCTGCCTACCGCACCGGATTCGTTGTTCTCACAGATTCAACGAGTGGTACATAGGATGGCGGCTTTTGCTCAAGTTTCCCGGGAGAACTGGGCAAGCTTTCGCGGTGACAGTAAAAAGCAGGAAATTGGCGTCGTTCTTGCTGCAACAAGCCACGTCGCAGTGCAGAAAAAATGGAGGAAAAATATCTTTTATTATCAGCAACAAGCGCGTCCTGCTGGGCTGGTAGTGGTTGAATCAACAGACAATCCGACTTGTTTGGATGAGAGTCGCGCGGTGGAGTTATTGACAGGAAATCGGCACGAGGAATCATTTTCGCACTGTGATGAACAATGGTGCAGGTGTACGAGCTCAGTGCAATAATCGACCTTTGCACCATGGCGGCAGGAGACTTCGCCAGAGATTTTGTAAAGTGACACAAGAGCTTTAAAGCCTAATGATCAGTAGCATTGGTAAGGGATGACACAAAAAGGTACTCATGGGGCCGTTTGATGGCCGAATATAGCGCAAGTGCTTCTCGCTGAGTCTGGGAATATCCAATTTTGGCTTTTGAAAGTCGACCGGAAAGGTAGATCACCGGTCTGCTACATTGTCCAGGGCTCGCTCCTATTTCGGTGGGAGAAGCACCTGTAAGGATGGCGGAAAATGGCTTCAAAACGGATGAAGTTTGAAGATAACCAAGCAGTGCAAGCAACGTCTTTTTACGGTTGGAAGACCAAGAGGATTGATTGGCATATATGACATCAAACGGGTAAATTGCACGTTTAGCAAATTTAGAAATAAAACGAGAGTAATACTGAAGTGCTCCTAGAACTAAACGCAGCTTGGTTGCTGATGGCGCACTTACTGAAGGAGATGGATAGTCTGTATCGGGTTTAAAAATGGTTGCCATCCAAAATGTAGCCAAGGCATGAAAATGATGGAACACCGAAAGTGCATTTATCAGGGTGAATTGATCTCAGAAAATCGCTTTATTAAAGACAAAAGACGCATATCTTGGAGATCCCTATTAGCAGCGTGCACTTAGGCATCAGCTTCGTACGTCTCAACACTGTTCAATGAAATGCATCTGGTGAAACATTCAGAATAAAGAAGAGAAAATTGCATTGGGATAACCTAAAAGGTGTGTTAATCACACCGAATCACCCGAAGCAGAGTTACGACCTGTGGAGTGACGTTGCACGTGAATTTGTTTGAGGATTGCGTTTGTCGTCCGAATGCATTCTTGAACTATTTCTTTTAGAATAATTTAACAACCCTGCTTCATCAGTCTTTGTTAAATGATTCATACCATCATGCTGCCCACATATCTTCTGAATAGTTTGGAATTTTAATTTGAACAGAGCAGCAGCTTTCGCTGCAGTTCGGGAGATTAAATGGCAGCAATGGGCGTATCACGCTGTCGGTCTTTCCACCTGGCGACGCAGTCACATTTAGCTGCCTGTATCTGCCACTGCAACACGAAGTCACGAACAGCATGAGAATGTGAGCGGTTCAACATAATGAATCTAGCTCTTTCGTCAACTACAAAGTTATCCGGTTTGAAGTGCCGGAGAACTACTTTCGTCAATGCATTTTAGGAAATATCGATCGGTGATTCAGGATATACCAAACATCTGTTCAAAGTGTACGCCTCCTTGCTGACGAAATTTAGAAGATATACCGATAGTTTTCTATCATTCACATCAGATTTTGATTAATGTATACGTCTGCTTTCCAACAAAAGTTAGAAATTATGCTGTGAGTTTCTCGTTATCCACATTAGATTTTGTAAGAAAATATATGTCGAAACGTTCAGAGGAATACTCTACGTTTTGCGCAGCTGAATGGACATTTATTGGTTCCGTATCGGCAGGCATGAGGAATCGTTCCGATCAGGAAGTCAAACTGTAGTAAATAAGTCCAGCAAATCGGTTAATCGGCAAATCTAGTAAATTAGTATAGCGAAACGAACCAGAAATCCAAAATCGGCAAACCGTAAAAAGTAGCACGTACGTGTCCCAATTAGGGTATATGTATTAGCTTTAGAATATTGAAACAAGAGAATAATGAATACTGCAATCAACAAAGTTTTAATCATCCTCACCACACACCGTTTGGAATTTGAGGGTAGGAAATACAAACATATACACGGAATCATCTCCGATGCCCGATTTGCAGCGGTGGGTAATCCAAGAATCGCCAATAGAGAGATATTGTAGGGCGTTACACACCATTCATAAGGTTTCAGGAGACTCTTCTTGAGCCCACCACAAGCTTCGTCCTTCGTTGGGCTTAACAGTCGGTCGCAGTATTCCCTGGCTTCCGTCAGCCTTATGTTCTACTTGGGCCAAGAAATTCGGCAGCTACACACGTTTGTATGCCTATCCCAGCTTAGTCTCCCGTTTAGAATGTAATTCCTCACATACATGTAACCTCATAAACCAAGAAAACCCAGTATCTTTTAGACACGACCTCGGCAATCGGTGTTAGGCGTGCACTTGGAAACAAGTGAATGTTGATCCATATTTTGGACCAATCGGAGCGTGTCAGGATGTGGCCACCACCACCATCACGATGCTTTCACCAATCAAATAAAAGTTCGGTTTATTGACTGTTTTGACAAACTCTGTCCGGTCCGATGATTTGGGTGCTGCCATTCGCCCTACGGACCTTCAATGGTGCTCGATAAAAGGTAGACTAAACAGGTAGACTAAACTTTTACTCGGACTGTTCTACTTGGAGGGAAATCGCATATCCTCTCTCGAATACACTCGTATTCATGGACAGCCTAACACAAGCCAGACGAAAGACTCATATCGGACGCTGTAATTTTCGGTTTCTTAAAGGCATCAGATCGGGTTCCACATGTTCTGGTGTCCCACAAACTTGAGGCTTATAGTACTCAATGAGAAATTCTACCCCGGCTTAAGACTGTCTTTTGGAGTGAAAGTGGGAGTGTATGCCCCACTTTAACCTTTTGAAAGGGTTCCGCATGTCCCGCTGCTCCACAAACTCTAGTCTTACGGAATTCAAGGGAAAATCCTTCGCTGGATCAAGGCGTTCCTATCAGACAGATCATTCCGAGTGAGAATAGGCTCGATGTACTCTTCTCCAGCGCCGGTCTCCATTAAAGTTCCTCAAGGCTCCGTCCTGAGACCGTTGCTGTTTCTGATCTACGTCAACGACCTCCC